GTTCTTGAGAGTCCAGATGTATTTGCTGAGTTCAGTCGAGTTTTTATGTTGTTCGTGGCGGAATGAGGCGTGGCGGAATGAGGCGGTGTGGTTTCTGTATCTTGTTTTGAAGTCGTTTTCTGTGAGTCCTATGTATGTTGCGGTAGTGTTGTTGTCCTTTCTTGTGACGGTGGCTTGGTATACAACTGATGATTGGAGGCAGTTGCCATTAAGCGGGCAATTGTTYTTTTGTCGGCAGTTGCATGTTTACTTGTCCTTTGTGTTGTTTGCGGTGTCGTTGTCGTCTCTCGGTGGATGTAAAATGCGCTTGTTATGATTGTCAATGATTTGTTTGGCATTGTTCATGCAGCTGTAACTGATCTTGATGGTGTTACGATTAAAGACTTTCCTAATATTATGGCCTCTAGGAAAGTGTTTATCAACTAGGCCAAGGAATCTCTCGTTTAGGTTGGTTTTCATGGAAGACGGTACTCACCAATGTGAAACCGTCATGTGGTTTGAAGACGTACAGAGCGTAGAAAACTATCAACACTACGTGGTTCTGCCCCCTGGCGTAGCTTCTCTTAAAATCACCAGCAAAAGTGAGCATTTCTTATTCTCTTGAAAACTTATGTCTTCATATAATGATGACTACAATGATCAGTGTGATCGGCCTTGCGGGTCTTGTGCACTTGTTTACGCGTAGCTTTAACATTAGATAATATTAGAACGGAATACTTTGATTTGTATGGGTTTCACTGTCTGCATCGCAAAGGTAGTAATCTTACCGTTACTATTTTAACACTTTTTCTTCTTATGCTTGCAGATAAATGTACTCCTCCATTTATAGCTTGTCTGAAGGAGGACAGAAATTTCTGGTATGAATGCGTTAAAGAGCTCATTGCTGGCTGGAAAATATCAGCAGGTAAAAATATCCACCAGCCCTCCCTCCCTCAGGAACAACCTTTTTCTCCATCTCCGCTGAGCACGAAAAGGTTGGAAGTGTCACGTCACTACCGCTACACATGCATATCAGCGTGACAAATGTGGTCACGCAATCAAATTTGTTTACCCATGAGGTCGAGATCAATGGTTTCAAAAGACCACTATTTTATCCGGGGTTTTTACCATTACAGCTTTTTTGTTTGCGCAAATTCTTCTCATTTGAAAGCGTTAGGCAAATATATTATACTCTTTGGGAAGCACGGGTGGCGTGCGCTGCTAATCCTCCGCCTCTCACGAATGCGGCTCCGAATCGAGTCCTGCCGATCTAGGTGCAGTATGTGAGTAGATTTGTTTGTAGGTTCTCTACTGTGCAAGAAGAGTTTTTTTCTCCGGTTTTCCTCCCTTCTCAAAAATATGGGCTTTCATCTAGTATGGAGACTAGCTCTGTTGTGATTGTCCCACGTCGTAATGCAGCAGCGAAACTTAATAGATTTAGATTTTAAAAAATTAAATTCAATGACACGTGGTCTGTGATGGGAAAACATTGCACCATGACGAATAAGGTTTATCTTGGGCACCGAGCACAGTTTGGACCTAGAAATCCAGAACTGGCTCTATTGTTCCATTATTGACAAGGACACTTCTTACAGGAAGACATATGGTCTCTAATATATTTGACATTTTTGGTCATAGAAACAAAGGATACCTTGCCGATCAAGCAGGCCTCTCAAAACGTTATGATAGCAGAGGCGCTACGAAAAAGGTATGAAGTCAGAGCACGTAGAGGAAAGTTTGGATTGGGGTGCTGATTTTATAGGAATGAGAATTGGATGAACGTATAGCAACAAGAATGTACTTTTATTTGATTGGAATAAATTTAAGTAGAAACAAGTCTTAGTTTATTTTTTATTTTTCTTCCTCAGCGATAATCCAGATTTAGGGACTTCAGTAAGTACAAAATAAGTGGATTTGTTTCAAATTTTATTAAGCATATTGAACATCATCATCGCCATCACCATCATCGCCATCACCATCATCATCATCGCCATCACCATCATCATCATCGCCATCACCATCATCATCATCGCCATCATCATGTACAGCATCACTATCATCGTCATTGACATCATCATCGACATCATCGACATCATCATCAACTTCATCATTATCATCAACACCATCATCATCATCATCTACATCATCATCATCATCACCACTATCATCATCATCATCGACTTCATCATCATCATCTACAGCATCATCTACAGTATCACTATAATCATCGTAATCATCATCATCGACATCATCATCAACATCATTTTGTATAAAACATAGCCCACTGTACATTTATATACACCTGCCAGTGTTTTCATTATCTCTTTTTTTTCTTTTCGAAAGCATGTTCTTTTCCTATGGAAAACTCCTATTACTTCGCCACTGTCTGATAAAACTAAAAAGGTAAGTTCTCCCCTGTAGGGGATGGAAGGTGGGAAGTGGCCGACATAGACTACAACCAAATACTGTTTCAAGTATCATTAAAACGTGGCATTGGTTGGGAGAAAAGGAAGGTTAGCTCTTGGTGTAGCGGTTGTCTGTGTTAAAGCGGGCGGTAGTATATCCCTTTTGTTGCACAGAATTTGAAAGTTCTAACACCTTTAACTTGTTTTTAATATTACAGATGCTGGTGTGGAGAATAGATCCAAATCCTCAAGCTAACGAGTCAGAAACGAGTACAGTGGAAGCAATGGTTTATGTTCCAACAGGTATGTGAAATACTTCGGTAAAAATCTTTTTTTTTTACACTGGGAAGAATCTCATGTTTCCATCTTCATGGCTGTCGTCTGAGAGAGGTC